AAACTCAAAATGTGTAAGCTCTGTGAGCATCCTCCAAAAAAAAAAAAAAAAAAAAAAAAAAAAAAAAAAAAAAAAAGACAAATAAGCCAAAATTCCTAGGCATTTTATTTTTTATTTCCCTTCCAATTAAATCAGCTCTGATAATTGACTCGGGGTAATCTAAACTGATTGAAGTCCTCTCCACACTGCTTCTCTGTTTTTTTGGCCTCTGACACGATTCCCAGCCATGTTCCCGACCTCCATTGCTATTGAGGGCTACCCCCTGTTTCTCCTCAGAGATGTGCCTTCTCTTTAGAACAGGCCTATAGTGTGCTCATTGAGCAATAGCCAGGCAACTTTCTTTAGCTCAGCAGCTTCATATCCCACCGGGAGTCCTTCTGGACATGTCAATAAGTGCTGGTCCAGGAGCATGAATTATAAACACTGTTTTCTCAAGGCCTCTAAGCAATTTCAGCTGGACACAGGGGTCTTGAACACACCCCATTGCTTCCAAATAATGTGCTATAAAGATGCATATGATCTCCCTCCAAAGAAACCTATTTAACTTAGGGACCGTGTCCCATAGCTTTCATCTATTTTTATTATTAATGGTAAGTATTTCTTTCCCCCTTTGCCTGGTACCCTGCTGAATCCGGAGGCCTGTGCCAACAACATCATATCTTTGTACTATTTTTATGTAGTCTTTGGTATAAATTACAATACTTTGTGCTGAGCATAATATCTTTTTAACACGAGTACCTAACATTAACTATGACCTCTATAAATGTCCGTTCAGTAAACAAATAACTAATGAATTATTCTAAGACGTAGCTCATTGGACTCCATTGTCTTATGTGTTTTAAGGCTTTCAACTTTGTAGTCCAGCCCACTGCCAACATGGCTCGAAGCCCTTTGCTCATCTAACTCCTCCGTACCTCTTTAACTCACTCTGCTGCATGGCAGATTAGACGATGGATTAGCTCATGAACTTTCCATTGCTCTTCCCATTAAAAACTGGTGCAACGATCCATCCTCACTGTCCATTGGTCTGCATTTGGAACCACTTGGGAGCCACACCTTTGAAGGTGTCTGTGAGGGTGTGTCCAAGAGGTTTCACTAAGGAGAGAAGACCCACCCTGAATGTGGGTGGCACCATCCCAAGGCTGGTATCCAGGATTGAACAACAAAAGGAGAAAGGAGAAGGGGAGCACAAACATTCATCCCTCTCTGCCTGCTAACTGCAGAGACGATGTCACCAGCCACCTCATAGCCTTCCTGTACTGCCTTCCTCACCATGATGACTGTGCCCTCAAATCATGAACCAAAACAAGCCTTTCCTACCTTAAAGTGCTTTTAGTCAGGTACTTGACCACTGAAATGAAAAGACTGAGAAAAGTGCAGATGAGATCTACATTCTTTCTCCTTGAATATGAACAGTTCAGCTTTGACACACATAGAGAGTGTGGGACTAACCTTCTGATAGCTTGCACTGTGGCCTCTTGGAATCCTGCACAGACATCCTGAGTCCCGTACTGGAGTTAAGTGTTAGGACCACATAGGAAGACAGAGGACCCTAGGGAAACTCAAACTCCTAGCTTTCCTCAGGAAGGTGGTAGACAGAGCAGACAACAGCCGCAATGCTACATGGAGACACTAGATGACTGTCCAAGGTGAGCTCTAGGCAATGCTCTGCATCAAGAGCAGCCACACACCTGCATTGTTTTGATGATCAGCTCATTCGATCCTTCAGGAGGCTGTGACTCCTGCAACATCACGAGGGGGCGCAAGCAAGACCACACAGCTGAACTCCATCAACACAGAGAACTGGGAACTTCAGTGTTACATAGTGGTTCAAGCCGCTGCGTTTTAAGGCAAGTCACACACAGCAGCACATAACCCATATACACTGGTGGGCAATAAAAACTGAATTGAAGGCAAACAATGGTATATCGGCCTCTTCAGTGTCTAGAACGCTATGCCCATAGTTGAGGGAACATACAGTTTCTCACTTCAAGCAAGACCACCAAAAAACAAGTCTCCTCCTCAGAGAAAAACCATCATGAAAGCATGGGTGGCAGGCTTCTGTCACCTAACTTCATGAATCCTAGTCCTAGGAGACATTGAACAGTAACTACTTTATCCATGCCCCTGCCCCACAATATAGCTGTCCCTTCAACTAAATCCAACCAGAGAACTCTGTGTTATTGACATCTGTGGAACTTCCTCCTCCTCCTAAATCCTAGAAGAGGAAATCTTGCAGCTACCCGGAGCAATAGCTTCTACCAGTTCTTAAGTCTTAATTAGAGCATTCTATTAGATGCTCCACCCCGATGTCAACAAATACAGTTTCAGCTCCTGCTTCTTTGTCAGGTTTTATTTATTTATTTATTTGCTTTTATTTGCCTAAATTTTGAGGAGTACCAGGAGAAACATTACTTACAAACTCCTCTTTATCATCTGTAGCTTGATTTTTTCGCCTTGCCCACAGTCAGGACAAATCTCTGTCACCCGCCAGTCCCACAGCCGCTCAGACCCAACCAAGTAAACACAGAGACTTAATTTGCTTTCAAACTGCATGGCCGTGGCAGGCTTCCTGCTAACTGTTCTTATCTTGCTAACTGTGCTTTTATCTTAAATTGATCCGTTTCCATACATCTATACCTTGCCATGTGGCTGGTGGCTTACTGGCGTCTTCACATGCTGCTGGTCATGGTGGTGGCTGCAGCGTCTCTGGTCATTGCGGCGGCTGCAGCATCTCCTTCTGCCTTTCTGTCCTTTTATCCTGCCTAGCCACGGCCGATCAGGTTTTATTTATTAACCAATCAGAGCAACTTGACATACAGACCATCCCCCAGCACAGCCAAGTGCAGACCATCTCAAACACCTGCACTCAGGCCCATGGTCCTAATCATCCTCTATACGGACCTGCTGGGTAACGCCACAAAGAACCTGAGAATGGGCTCCCACAGGACCTACAGAACATCCCACAGCAATCATCCTTTCATAAATGTGAAGGGCCTAAACAACTTCATCCCCTGTGGAAGGTGAAATACTATCCTTCCTAAAGCTTAGTCATATGGAAAAAAATGAGACAAATCTACCTGTCCTGCTTACTTGGATGGGTTTTGAAAATATCAAAATCAAAATAAATATAGGAAAGAGCATCATGGACTCTGATGCATACTACAAGTGCATAGTAGCCTACATGGTCCTTGGACACTAGGACATTTTTGTCCTCTAGGCTCTGCAGGGGAACGAAAGAGTAGAGAGCTGTCTTAGTCGATCTTCTACTGCTATGAAGAGACACCATGACCACGGCAGCTCTTACAAAGGAAAGCAGTTAATTGGGGCTGGCTTAAAATGTCAGAGGCTTAGTCCGTTGTCATCACGGCAGGAAGTATGGTGGCATACAGGCAGACGTGGTACTGGAGAGTAGCTGAGAGCTCTACATCTGGGTCCGCAGGCAGCAGGAAGAGAGAGAGACACTGGGCCTGGCTTGAGCATTTGAAACTCCAAAGCCTATCACCCGTGACACACTTCCTTCCACAAGGCCACACCTACTCCAGCAAGGCCACACCTCCTAATCCCTGTCGTCGAGTGGTGTCAGCCCCTAATGATCACACATTTAAATATATGAGCCGATGGTGGGGGGCATTCCTATTCACCACAAGAATGATAGCCGTGCTGGCTGGTTTTGTGTGTCAACTTGACACAAGGTAGAGTCATCAGAGGAAGGAGCCTCAGTTGAGGAAATGCCATCTGTAAGGCACTTTCTCAATTAGTGCTCAATGGGGGAGGGCCCACCTACTCCATGGTGGGTGGCACCATCCCTGGGCTGCTGGCCCTGGGTTCTATAAGAAGATGGGATGAGTAAGTCAGGAAAAGCAAGCCAGTAAGTAGCATCCTCCATGACCTCTGCATCAGCTCCTGTCTCCAGAACCCTGCCCTGTTTGAGTCCCTGTCTTGGCTTCCTTCAGCAATGAACAACAATGCTGATGTGTAAGCATTTTCTCCCCAACTTGCTTTTTGGTCATGGTGTTTCATCGCAGCAATAGAAACCCTAACTAAGACAATAGCTAAGAGCTGTGGTGAGTTTTTATGAAGACCATGAAAATACCCTAAATTGAAATGTTACGCAAATCTGCAAATGTATTAAAAGCCATCACACTGTATAATTTGAATGAGAGGGTTATCTGCTATGTAAACATCTTAATGAAGGTATGGAAGGGAAGGGAAAGAGGGAGGGGGACTAAGGATGGATGGGAAGGAAGGTGGGGACCTCAGATTCTCCTCTGAATTCTTCTATCTTGGGTCATCTTGTTTGTTATCCATGAACATGCCTGCCATAAGCCTCCAGGGACCCTACGGCAGGGACTCCCATCTCTAATATGTGAACACAAATATTGAATTATTTCCATAAGGAAGCTCAACCTTGACCAGAGAACAGGCGAAAAAATGAACAAACATCATCAAATGAATTGCAAACTTCCCTAAGACAAATAGAGGTTAGAGTCTGGGATGTTAAGGTGGAGAGCAGATTATCATCTAGAACACCCTGCTGAAGCAGACCTTTAAACAGCCAGAGGAAGACTACAGTTCCTGCAGTCATGTGTCAGAGTTGGAGACACTAGATGTATCTTTACCTTTGCCTGGAAGGTGCTCGCCCTCTCTTCTTTATTTCCTGGATGTGCTGGGGGACAAGGCAGGGGAGTGCAGTGGTTGGAACACAGCACACACTTGGCCCAGTGTCTCTGGGGCTCTGTAGAGAACTTTCTCTGAGTCCTGCCTGGGTACAGTCATCGTGAACAATGGCTGGGAAGGAACAGGGCCAGGAGTGGGGAGAGATCCAGGAATCTAGAAAGCCCTGGTCACTAGCCAACCCTTGCCCGAGATCTGCCCCTACCCTATCTACCTGGCACTTTCCAAGGCCATGGCACAGATGGAGCACTCCTTTGAGAGGGTATTCAGAGGCTCCTTCTGGCATGTTCTTTGAGGGTATCTTACCCTTTCCCAGAATGCAGTCTGATGCTGGATCCATTCTCTGAAGACAGCACACATAAAAAATAAGCTCACTCTTGAGGCGTACATGGGGGACAGACATTGCCATCACTCGTGCTGGCCTGTGACAGCCAGCATCCTGATACTCACCCCGCTCCCCAGCACCCTCTGTCTTCCCCTGATAGTCACTCTCAGCTCCCATCCAGACTCATCCTGCCAGGACAAAATCAAAAGAATGGATTTTTGGACAGCTGGAATAGTCGTCATCTCTCACTCCACGTCTCCAATTCCTGTGGGGCCTGCCCTGTGCCCTCTCCCCCCACCCTCCCATGGCCTCTCACTCAATCCATTCTCCTCCTGGCACCGACAGCCATTTTCCACCACCCTGCTGGCCTAAGTTCAACCCACCTCCCCAAGGGGCTTTTGCTCCCACTTCATCTGTCTCCCTCATGCTGCTCCTGCTGGCACTGGATCCTCTGCTTCTATTTCTGGATTCTTTCCATTGGCCTCTCTTCGACTAGGCAGTTGCTCCTTCAGCCTGCCTTGCATTTCTCTGGCCTCGCATGAGCATCACTGAAATCTTCCTACGTCAGGTGGAGAGCTGTAGTCAGCAGCACGTTCTCTGATGGGATCCCCCTTGCCATCATCCTCACTGTGGCATAGAAACACAGGACTTCCTGCAGCATGAAGCCTCGATTACCGTCTCACATCCCTAAAAGACATTCATGAGTTCTTTCTGCCATGGTCCAACACAGGACTTAGAGGATATCATCCCTCTCTTGCAGATGAATCTCATTTTCATGGCCCCTCAACTCCAAACTCTTGCATCCAGTGAACTTCTGTATGTATTATGTGACACTAAAACTCCCCATAGACATAGCCACTACTGACTTGTTTCTATCTTCGGTGACTTTTTATCCTGGGATGGATGCTTCTTCTTAAACGAGGAATGTCAGTTCTTTCATTTCATGCATTTTTTCATTCATTCAGTTAGCAAGGCTGGGGGGGGGGGAGAACCCAGGGCCTTTGTGCTGAACAAGGGGTCCTACCATGGGGATAAATCTTCCAGAATAATTTCTATTTTTTTTTTGTCATGAAATAAAATTCTGCTAAGTTTCCCAAACTGACCTTAAACTTGCTCTGGAGGCCAGTCAGACATTGAATCTATGACCTTTCTGCTTCAGTTCCCCATGTTGCTGGGATTATAGGACTGCACCTTCATGCCCTGCTCAGGTCTTATATCATGGGCCCTCTGTTCACTTGGGTTCTCTTCTCCTACCATATTTATTTTGACAGGGCTGTGCCCCATCCTGCCCACACCTGGCATTTTAAAGACATTGAAAATTATCATTCCTGCTGACTTCCTGTTAGGAAAATGCAAAGAAGTTTCTATTCAAAAAATATCACTTCTGTTGGTTTTCTCTCTGCTTTTAAAAATACTGCAAATGTATATACATAAATATCTACGTACATATGTGTATCTATATGTATGCACACACATATACACATGGCCCACATTTACAACTAAAAAGACATGTACATAAATATCTATGTACATATGTGTATCTATATGTATGTATACATATATACTCACATACATAATGCATACACAACATATGTCATAAATATATCCAAGTGACTCCTTAATTTTCTCCCTTCCTCTCCTGCTAACTTCTTATACCACAATAGTCAGTCCTATGACTGAAATAGAGAAATTTATTTCTCACAAAAAAAAAATCTTTCAAAGAACATGAAAAGTCACCTCCACTCACACCTCCTCCCTGATAGCCAGAGTTACAGATCAAATTTTGATGATAACATACCATTGCACTCATCTAAAACCGCCTGACACACAATTAATTGCTGGCGTGCTGTGGGGGAGCACATGGTCATACACTTTTCCTTCGTGGTTAAAAGGAGACCCTCTGAATCCAGAGGCAGAAGCACATGTTCTACTCTCAACTTCTTCAAAACTTGACAACACAGCATTGTATGAAAAACATTGACACTTGCCCTTCCCTGTATTCACTGTCTACCCTCACAAGTTCACATGGTTGGAGTCCATATCTCAGAAATTTGATTTTTCAGTTATTGCTATATAAGATGTTGTTTATATCCTTGGAGGGAATTGATCAGCACGACTCTGAAAAAGAATTTTGATGGAGCTCTTCCTTTTGATAACGTACTGCTTTTAGCCTCCCTGTGTTTAATTTTTAGATCTCACTAAACTTAGTGATAATGTCCTAGGCAAGTTCTTAAACTCCTCAAACCTAGATGTCAGTCCTGCAAAATAAATATAGTGGTAACACCTACGTGATCAGATTATAACGAGTGAAAAATCTGTGTAATGATCGCCAGCCACATAATGAGGTTCAACTGATGCCCATTATCATCAATGTATTAAGCATGCATCTTTGTTTCTCAAATAACTCCTAGAGGGTCTAACTGGAAATAACTAGGTTGATTGTGACTGTGAGAGGCCGTGAAATTGGCAGCTGAAGTCTGCTTTCATTTGCCTGTGGGTAAAATGATCCACTTACGGAGGATCCACTCCCAAAGTGGGGCTACAGATGGTACCAGCAGATTGGGCCGCATTCACAGGTGGATCTGTGCCTCTGCCACATTCCCAACCAAGTATAATACATTGGAGCTTTCTGTCAAGCTTGGAATCCCTTATCTACCTTGGACAAATGAGAGCGGACAGTGTTTAGTGAAGACTACTCACGCACTTGTAGATTACTTTGTGCACGCTGGGGACTGGGCTTATTCCGTGTTCTGTCACTCTAACAAAGCAACTGAGATCAATTACAAAGAAGAGCTCCTTGGACTGGAAAGTTCTGAAGATTCTAGCCCATCATTAGTAGTTCCCATTGCTTTGGGTGGGTCGGCACATAATGACAGGAATGTATGACAGAGCAAAGTCTCTTGGATTAGAAGCAGGAAAGTGAGAGAGGGATATACTGTGGTAGGCCTCAGACTCCTTTCTGAGAGCACATCCCAATGATCTAAGAATCTCCTATTTAGACCTCCCATCTCTGAGTTCTGCCACCTCCCAAAAGTGTCATCATAGTGACCAACCCTTTAATACGTGAGCTTTTGAGAGACAATTAAATATCCAAATGACAAAAGGGATCTACAAGGAACTTTTTGAAACCAAGGAGGAAAGGACAGAATATCTGAAAACCTGAGTCAACTGGGATGGAAAGATGGCTTAGCCTTTAAGAGTGCTTGATGCTCTTACAGAGGTTATGGGTTTAGTTCCCAGCAACCCACAACTTCCTGTAACTCTAGTTCTAGGGGATCTGATACCCTCTTTTGGCCTCTGAGGGCTCCTGCATGCACACAGTACACATAAACTCACACAGCACACACACATATACACATAGAAATAGTAAATAAATGAATAATTAATAAGTAAATCCATTTTGTAATGAGCAAGCAATCTGAACCACAAGAGAAGAAAGGCAAATGTATTAAACAGGACATGAGAGACCAATTTTTTTTATATAACTGAGACTTACATGTGAAATAAGAACATATCATTTTATATACATGGAATTGGAAGACATCATGAGAAAACTGGAAAACACAAGGTGTTTGTGAGGATATGCTCACAAAATCAGCCCAGTGAGGACACAATGCAGCAGTAACCGCATAAAAGAGCCCAGGAATTCTTAATCAAATTAGGACCACATTAAAATATACTCTATGACCAGCAGTCAGACTCCTGGGTCGTATCCCAGAAACATTATCCACAGGAACCCAGTGAAAATCCTGCAGGAGGGTTGTGGTTCAATCTGTAACATTCCCCCTACAGGCTTTGGGCTGTGATACTTTGTGGAGGTGGAGCAACTTTTAGGAGGCAGGTCTGACTGGGAAGAAGAGACATCACTGGGAGATGCCCTTGGATGAGATACTGGGATCTGATCCCTCTCTCGTTTACCCAGATACCCTATGGTGAGCATATTCACTGACTATGACCTCTCTGGCCTGATGCTCTGTCTTGACATAGGACCAATGCCATGGGGCCATGTGACCATAGGCAGAAAGCTCTGAAACCGTGAACCAAAAATCAATCTTTCTTCCTTTTAAGTTGTTTTTCCCAGGCATTTTGTCACAGTAACTGAAAGCTAACACCGGGAAAGATTTCCCTAGAGTGTTACTCACCACGCAAGGGAACTGGAAATAATTTAGCTGAGAAAACAATGGCAGTTGATGAGAAACATGGTAAAGGCAGTACATGTTTCTCAATACCCATCCCCTCATGCAAAGGAGTGTGAAAATAATTCATCTGTTTGCTTACTATAACTACAATCCCTGCTCACTGAAGATAAGTTTTAAAATCTACATAAGGGAAAGAAAAAAAAAAGGTCACTGGTAACCCTACCATCTAGATCCAAGTGACATGTGGATGTACCCACCTCCAGGAAGTCTTTGCTATTATAAAAATATAATGCGTCTTAATATAAATGCATACTTAATTCAAATCATATGGCTTTTTATACTCTGAAATCTGCTTCTGACATATAAAAATATATTGGGAAAAGACTATTCTCCTACTCTATCTGCCAAGGACCAAACAGGAAACAGATGGTACACTCAAAATAGGATGAGTCCAGAGGGGTTTATTCACAAAGGACTGTTTACTAAAGTATGTGTGGGATGGAAAGTGACCTGCATCCTGACTTGTCTGAGATAATCCTAAGCCAGATCTACTGCCTCAGTATCATGCCGAGTGTGGTATTTCCAATATCTCCATTTTAAATAAAGATTTGTATGAATTACTGCATTACAATCAAGTGGCATTGGTTTGGAAAATTATGCTTCTAGCGTCTGCTGTTGTATCATTTCTAAGTACATGTGATGCTTGTGCCTTAAGCCTGTGGCGAAGTCTGGAAGAATATTAGTGGCGACAATGGCTACTCACCCCTACCATTTCTAGACCCAGTGATATCAGCATCTCCTGTCCTGGAGAGGACATACATGTGGAGACAAGCAGTTAGAGAACGCATATCCTAGCCTTAGGTCGTAGCGGTGGAAGTACAGGTGTTTCGTGAGTGTAAAATTACCTTTTTAGTTGTCCTGACAAAAGCAAACTAAGGAAGCAGTGGTTGACTGTGGTTCACAGTTTGAAGGTCCATCATGACAGAGAAGATGGCAACAGAGCATGGGACAGCTGGTGACATTGTGCCCACAGTCATACAGCAGAGATA